TAAAAATAATAATAATAAAAATAATAATAATAAAAATAATAATAATAAAAATAATAATAATAAAAATAATAATAATACTATTACACTTATATAGCGCTGTTTCCCAGTGGTTCAACAGCACTTTACAGATATAAAGTTTCCCTAAAAGTTAACTAAAAAATTACTAAAACTATCTAAAATTGACTAAATTGTAAAACTAAACTGTAAAACAAAAATAAGACAATAAAAAAAAAAAATCAATATCCGTAGTAAGCACTTAAGACCGTAAAAATGCTTTTTGAGTCTACTTTTAAAAGTGTCAAGTGATGTAGAATCTCTGACAGATTAAGGTAGAGCATTACACAGCGATGGCGTAGCAACGGCAAAAGAACGCCCACCATAAGTTTTAAGATTATAGGTTAGATTCCAAAGAAAGATTTTGGCAGATGAACGAAGGAATCTTGAGGGATGATAATGAGTAAGTAAGCCAATCAGATATGTAGGAGCTTGGTTGTCTAGCACTTTAAATGTAATTAGTAGAATTTTAAAGTTTATCCTGTGATCAAAGGGTAGCCAATGAAGTTCCACGAGGAGCCGAGGTAATATGTGATCGTACTTTTTAGACTTGGACGCTATTCTTGCAGCGTGTAATAGATTAACTCCGTTTTCCGACCTACAACAACTGGATAAAGTGAATCCGACCGAGTATAAACTAGAATTCAAGATTTCAATCCACTAACGTAACGAAAATATACACACCGTGATACGATGCGAGTAAAATCACATCATGTGATCACGTCGCTAACAATCAATAAGTCAATCCCAACTAAGAGGGGTCCCCTGAATTCCACACAAAGCGCAATTTGACACTCGCTGGAGCCTATGTAACAAATATTTAGGAGCACCATATAGCAGAAAGTTGCAATAATCAATCTTTGAAGTCACAAAGGCATCTGCGGGAGTTTTAGAAGTTTTAGTCGTAAGAAACTTTCTAATCGTGGTTATATTTCGCGAGTGGACGAATGGAGATTTACAAACGACAGTAATATAAAGAACCATGGACATAGAATCATCAAGTACAACTCCAGTGTCTTTTGCAGTTGAAGAACAGCTAACAATCTCCTCAACACTGGTCAGATTGTGAAAATCACATCTCTTCTAGGTATGAAACGCCAAAGAAACAGAGACACTATTAATGCCATTGGAAAGAGCATATATTTGAACCTCGCTATCAAGTTTCATTCCATATCTAACTTTAAAAGTCTTCGAACAGTAATCAATCAAACTTTTCAACTGCAAGTTTTGATTGGAAGATTTTATAGGAAAAAATAATAATGGCTTCTTTTCAAAAACTGTATTAAAAAATCTAAAACTTCGCACAAAAATATGCTTTATTAGTGAGGAGAAATGCAGTTTTAAAACCATCTGAAACATTCCGCAAGTTCTAACCACGTGAGCAATGACGACACAGCCACAAGGTTATACATAGTGTATCTTCGTAAAAGTATCTACCAACACGCAAGTTGAAGTTTTTTAAGCAAGAAAAAAAGTACCCCTCGACCTAGTCTCACCTTTCTTTGCTCATACAAATAGCCTCTTTAATTTGGAGACGGCAAAACTCACGTGGCCATTTTAAATGCTCTATAGCATTACCCCTTAAAACATGTGAAGTGCTTTCAATATTTTCAATGCCTGTCCTCACACAGACATTAAACACACTTTTAGTCACGTGACTGATAATGTCATGACACCAAACTTGCAGTAATATATGTTTCATAGCAAGTGTTTTTTCATGTACTGTAGCAACGTACTGGACTCTTATTATAAACATTTATTGGATGAGGTTTTTGAGATATCCAGAATAATCAAGGTCGAGATAGGGGTTATCAACCAAATCCGACGGCCTACGCTGATAACCCTTACCAAGACCTTGATTTTTCTAGGTATCACAAAAACCGTATCTAATAATTGTTTTATTATACCTTTAAAGAAAAAAAAAAAATGGAAGTCATGTTTTTGCTTCTTCACTGACGGCAAGCAACACAAAGCGCGCGAACTTGATATGATTACGCTTAACATATCGTATTAGCCTGCGAACAGGCTCCCGGCAAGGACGGAAAAAAATTTCGGCGGGCTATAGCGAAATTCTCGATCGTGATTGGTTCTTCGCGCGCCTATTTGCCACGTGATCGGCGCACGGTCACGTTGGTGTCCGATTACAGGTATCCAATTTGAACTTTTTGTAATTGGACACCTGTAATTGGTTACCCACGTGATTCGCACGTCAATCTGCGCACGCCTTAATGGCTTTCTTTGCGATGTTTCCTACAGTTTTCAAAACTTATGAAACGCGCTACATATGTTTTCGCTCAAAAAAAGTTCTCAAAGGACATTTTTATTTCCGAAATTTGTTATAGATACGATTGCAATTTCAAATCGGCCTTGCGCCTCGCGCTCGTCCGATTTTGAAATTATTTGCGCGATTACTTCCTGAATTGTACTCCACCGGGTCCAATTACTATTATAAATCGTGCATCGTGGTCATACATGACATGATTACCCGTGAGCTTGAGTGTCCTTGACATGATTATTGTATAATCTGCAGCTGGATGACGTCACAGGCGATAATTTCGAAAATTCACCGTACGCTTTCGGCCAATCAGAAAAGAGATGGTGAGTTCAATGTATTATAATTATTATTACCTGTAGAGGTTGGTCCTTTGTGTTGACTTGTCGACGATTGCATCGTGGCGGGTTTGGTCATCGTGGGAGGTCTGGTTGTCAATTCTTTGCCTTTTGGAAAACAGACAGGATTGCAGGGTATTAGCGTGTAATATCATGGGTGACAAATTAGTCCTTAATTTTGGCCCGAAATCTCAGTGCTAATTTAGAATTTCACATGTAAAATTACAAAATCAACACGGCAACATTTAGCGGGAATGAACAAATCAAAACCCCACAACTGTAACCGTTTTTTCAACCATTATATTAAATTGCGTATAATGAAATATAATTGCTGTATATTTGAAACGCTTTTCAAAATTAAGGCGAATGGTATTACTATTTTTGGAATATCTTGTTTCCCTCTAAAGATATTTACCCTTTTATATTTCCCAAATAAGGGAATATTTCTTGAGATATTCTTCATTCAGTGTTTCACTGTGTAAGTGGAACTGCTTATGACATCATCACTTTCCTCATTTTCATAATACAAAAACGTAAATACCTCTAGAACGAAAGAAAATATTCCAAGGAAAACGCTATTCTTCTTTATTTTGAGAAGTGGCAATTATTTTTCACTTCCTATGCACTTAAAAACGTAATCAAGCAGTATACTCGAGAAATTAAGAAACAATCTTATTAGTATTTTGTCAAAACCATAATCATCTCCTTCGCCTGAAGGCTCGGATAATTATTAGAATTTTTACAAAACGGACTTGAAATTTTACCACGACAAAAAGCTACGATAGGACGGGGATCGGGGGGTGGGGGGGGGGGGGGGGG